TATATATATATATATATATATATATATATATATATATATATATATACTACAATTCATAAACCCTAAACCCTCAAATAGAAGGACTAGTCGTGTAGGGTATTTTATTAAGGGTTTAGGGTTTAGGGTTTTAGGGTTTAGGGTTTAGGGTTTAGGGTTTAGGGTTTAGGGTTTGGCTTTGTAGGCTTGGAATTCCTTTCAAGGCATTGCCGTCGATGTGCATGTACACCGCATCAGCAACAGGTAAACCCTAAACCCTAAACCCTAAATCCTAATGAGTTGCAGCCAAACCCTAAATCCCAGGCTAAACCCTAAACCCTAAACCCTAAACCCTCGAAACCCTCAGTACAAGGAACAGCATAAACCCTAGCTTGATTTAATTTAAATGTTTAGGGTGCGAAGCATGCATGAAGTCTAGGGTTTTAGGGTTTAGGGTTTTAGGGTTTAGGGTTTAGGGTTTAGGGTTTGTTGCAGGCTTGGATGGGTGAAAACGAAAACCCCGCAGGAAACAGAAATTGCGCTGGAGGACTGTATACCGAGGTCCTAAACCCTAAACCCTAAACCCTAAACCCTAAACCCTAAACCCTTTATGCAGCTGTCTTATGCGGGGCCTGGTGTATCCGATTTGCTTTCTCCTGCTTCTTTAGTTTAAACCCTAGGGTTTAGGGTTTAGGGTTTAGGGTTTAGGGTTTAGGGTTTAGGGTTTAGGGTTTGTGCAGGAAACACTGGGAAGATATTAACCTCCTTCTCGTCGGCTTTGGCCAGCAGATATGCAAACCCGTAAACCCTGCGGTAAACCCTAAACCCTAAACCCTAAACCCTAAACCCTAAACCCTAGACCCTGATATAGAGCGCTTACGTAAACCCTAAACCCTAAACCCTCGCTGTTACTCGCATGCGGGTCCTAAACCCTAATCCTAAATTTCAAGCAAATAACCCTAAACCCTAAACTCAAACCCTAAACCCTAAACCCTAAACCCTAAACCCTCATTATACACCTGAATGACCATTTATAAATGCCTGCAAGCTCTGGCTGTACATGCATTGGGGTTGCTGGTAACAAAGCTAGGGTTTACTCACTAGGGTTTAGGGTTTTAGGGTTTAGGGTTTAGGGTTTAGGGTTTGTGTGTTGCAGTGCGCTGCTTGTCTAGCGCGGCAGTACTGCCCCGTAGGCCGCAGACTCCGAATCAGAGAAGAAAACCCTAAACCCTAAACCCTAAACCCTAAACCCTAGTTCTATTGTCAAGGTGTTTCTCTTGTCTCTTGGCTTCTTGTGGGAAAAAATCTTAAACCCTAAACCCTAAACCCTAAACCCTAGAAAATTAGGGTTTAGGGTTTAGGGTTTATTGTTGTGTTTCCAAACAAGTGGGAGTTTTGTTCAAACCCTAAACCCTTTTTTTTTTTTTTTAAATTAAAATAATGCGAGGGTTTAGGGTTTAGTCAGGGGCTAACTCTCTATCATACCGGTGCTGCAGCAGCTGCTGCAGCAGTGTTGCTGCTGCTGCAGATACACCCGGGATCCGCAGCAGCTGCTGCAGCGAGTAGAGGCTGACGTCGCCCAGCGTACGAATTTCACACTGCAGCAGCAGCAGCAGCAGCAGCAGCAGCAGCAACAGCAGCAGCAGCAGCAGCAGCAGCATAGGGAATAGTATTGTAAAAGGAGTGAACAATGCAGTAGCAGCAGCAGCAGCAGCAGCAGCAGCAGCAGCAACTCGAGAAGCAGCGACAGAGCAACCCAAGAAG